TTAAATTAAGACAAGAAAAATGCCGGGAGGGGCACTCGAGAAGGATATGGTGGGACACTCGGTAAAATTATTTTTTAAGTTATAACTTTATTGTTTCCTTCATTTTTGTTCTATCAATCATATTTCATGGACAATTTTCATTTTTAAACAGAGAAAAAAATTAGAAACTTCAATTATTAAGAACAAAAAGGGTCTTGATTATTCATTAGTTAGCAGTATATTTTGCCTGATCAAGTCGTTTATGTTACGGGGTTTTTTTCTCCTTTTAGGCCCCGATCGTTTACATCAAACACCCACATTATGTTCAACACTTTTACAAATCCCTCAAAATAGCACATACCCACATGAAAAAACTGAACTTCAATTTGACCATCGATCTGCTTTCACAATGGAGCTCTAACACAGAATAAAAAAAGGAAAAAAAAAAAGAAGAAGAATTGGAGAGCACTCTTAGACATGGGGACATGAATAGGGTTGGAATGTTTTCTTGTTCCTTTTCATTGGGAATCTTTTTGTGCTGCATGAGGTTGGACACTCATCGTTGGCATTCACATGCACATTTTCAAGCTGTCGTCCATATCAAGGACTATCAAGAAAGGCAAAGTCCCGCTCCAATTGCTGAAGAACGACCGAACAAAATGATGGTCCAGACTCCAAAGCTCTTTTGTTTTTTTATCTTATTAAATTATGAAAAGACACTGGAAGAAACAGACACGAGAGATTTGACGAGGACCCATAAGAAGATTATCATCGGCGCTCATTAATATAAAATCGTCTCGTGTGAATCACATTTGCAACACACTCGTCTCTGCTTTGGATCCTACCAGAGATCGCCTCCTGCCTGTGCATCATTTGAGCTTCATGGTGCACATGCCACATTTTTATTTGATTTCGAGGGGCCACGCAGAAGATCCAAAAGAGGCTTCTTTTGACCTTAATTGAAAAATGTATTGGTCATGCATTGCGAGCTCTTGAGAACATTGTTTAACTAGTTTGTAAGGAGATGATCTCAACAATAATATTGGGGCCATATGTCTTAGATCAAGAGTTAAATGTGAGTCTCGCCCTTTCTTATTCAATAGCTTAAATCTTAAATCTCGACGGTATAGGGGACAGCGGGGGTGTTGAGCGGGCAATTCGGCGATTGGGCAATGACAGGTATGAGAGAGGCGATGGAGGAGAGAGAAATGCATGTTAGGATTTGTAGATTTTTGTTTGTGGATGGGCAATTTCGGAAGCAAAACAACCAATTCTGTAAATAAGCGGGATGTGAGCGGGCAGGTTGATATGAAAGTGGAAAACTTAGGATCTTAACTATAAAGTTTTAAAAGTGGAGATGGTATTCGATACGCGGGTGTAAATCTCAAGAGACTTTTTGCAACTATCCCTGTAAAAAAAAAATTGAAAATAGAGATGATTGGGTGAAAAAGATCAGGTAAATGATTGAAAGGGAAGTGGGAGGAATTCAACTTAAAAATGATTGAAAGTAAACTTGAGTAAAAGAAAGGGGACACCTAAATGATTGACGGAGACGTGGGAGGAATTGAATGGTCGAGGTTTTGATTATGGCATCAATCTTAAACTAAGGGCACAAACCATATGAAGAACGGTTCTGTGGAAGTTCCTTTGGCGTAGCGCGCACAATGATCGTAAGACATCGATCGTTACACGATGCATGGGGACCCATTATTCCCTCTATGCATGCACGGTTCTAATGTTAGATACCTCTTTTTTTGGTTGCTATCAATGAGTTTATGTCCGTCATTGAGGAGAGATTAGCTGGCCTCAAGAAAAAGGCCACGAGATAGAGCCAGAAAGAGGAAGAGGAGACACTGGGGCATCGCGTCCATTGAAAGAGATCATAGGATAGATTTGGGAAGAGAAAATGTGTCTTGTCTTGATCATATCCACTAGATCAGTGGATGGTTGAGACATACATGGGTGACAAAATGAAGTGCAGCCTTTGATCGCTCAGAGCAAATTGGGGGTTTCCACTATGATCTGTCGGTTTTGGTGTGCTACCAATGACATGTCTCTTTAAGACCAAAATTGGTAGGGCTGAGGACTGTGAAGATGAAGAGCAATTCCCTCTTTCCACACCACCCCTTTATTGGGCCTTTCCGTGGGCCCAATTGGCATGGGCCGAGAGGCCTTGTTTGGGCCCAAACATAGAAAACCGAATCTCTTCGATTTGATGCTTTCCTTAGATTGTTGTTGTGGGTCAAATCTTATCTTTGGTACGATCGAGCCCGTCTCGTCTTGTCAAAATCAAAGGCACTTGCGGGGTCGCTGTCTATGCAGCTTCCGCCGTGTGCAGGACTTTGGCCGGTGGTGGTTGGAGGTTTTTCTTAATTCCAATTCTTCGATAGGAGTTTGACCCCACCAAACGAGTTCTTTTGGGAACCAAAAGGGTGAAAGGTTGATATCGAAATTGGGGATGGATTCCCCATTTTCCAGCACATTGACAAAGACCAATTTCGTGTCGGTTAACGATCTCTTTCGACCATTAATTTCACAAGCATTCAAGGGACATACGTACAAAAATTGAGTTTTGGGACTTAGGTAGACTGTCATGCCGACCTCTGAATTGTTTGGAGGTTGCCCAATGTTTTCGGGGTTCCCTTCGAACAAACTTAATGCTTGTTATTACGGAAGGATATGTTTGTCATTTAAGAGAACGCTTACTTTTGGTTAAGAAAACGTTGATGTTGTTAACCTCACTAACATCGCGAATCAAATAGGACATATGTCCAAACCTAGATCGGTGGCCTATATAGGAGATAGCCCGAACTTATTAGTTTCATGAGAATTTAACATGTGTTGGTCACGTAGGCCACAACATCCTAGTTTATTAGATCAACCCGAAACATGAAAGTCAGTGAGGTACACAAATAAAAGTTAGAAAGTTATGACAAAAGTTTATAACTTGAAATGAACGACATAAACATTGGTAAGTGACTCAAATAAAAGTTGGTAATCTAAAACTAATTGGTGACTTAATCCACGAAAACAAAGTTAGTAAATCACTCCAATTAGGGTTCATAATTTCGAGAGCCTGTAATTGCAGCAAGTTGGTAAGTTACGCAAATAAAAGTTAGCAATTTATTGCAATGGCCGGTAATTTCGTAATTAGCAAACTAACGTTGGTAATTTGATATAAGAAATTGATAGCTCACTAACAAATGACTACACAAGCTATTTTATCAAAAAAAAAATTACGGACAATATTTTAACTTACGGACAATATTGATAGCTAAAGTGCATAAACCGTGGAGTTACAATTTTCACCTAACTCGCACCCCCATTTCTCTCAATATCTCAGACTTCTTCGGGAAGACGAAAAACCTTCTGGAAATTTTACATTCCGGCGATCAAGAGATCCAGACGAGGACCAAGATGAAGTCTTTTAAAGGCTTGCTCATATCCAAAAGTACATAAATTATCTAATTCATTGCTTTCCCTAAGTGTTATATGTCCACGGGCAATATGGCATAAAAGCTTCATTACCCTTTTTTATTATTCCTTATTGATTGATTGAATGGGTGATCAAGTACTTAATTTAAGCATCGCGAATTTCATATTTTAATAATCACTTCACGAGAAGGGACATGTTGGGCTCTACTTGGCAAAATAAAAACAACCGAATCATTTTCTTGAAAAAGGATAGATCCATTGAGGTCTGTAAGTTGGAGACCTGTGGAATACAGAGCAGGATATCTTTTTTCCAAGGAGAGAATATTCTCTGTGTATATTGCAGGGCTTGGAAGCAATCGTATGTTCATAGGAAAAACTGGCGATCATTGCCATGGATTCTGTCCTCGTGAACGTATACAAGAAGGTCTTTGCTGATTCGTATCAACATGATGCACCTCGTATGGAAATCATTCTTTCTCTACATCTTTATTTTTATAATTTTGTTTTTGTTGAATGAGCCCTTTCGCTCTCGATTTTTATTTTCAAAAAGTATCGAGAAAATTCGAGAAAATATATTCGGCGCGCCGATGTTTTCCGATTTTTTTTTGAAATATTTTAATGTGATAAGACCATTCGAACAACAATAAGCACTTACCAAACAGGAGAGCACGCGATATCCATGTAACGAGACGGTGATTCAGAAATATAAGGTTTTGAGTAAAACCTCCATTTTTCATTTCTCAATTATAATCTCTCCGGTTATTATAAACACTCACTCGATCCATTCGATTATCGTATAAAGCCCCTGCGAGGGCCTCCGCGGCCTGTCCGTTTGATTTACAGGCACGACGCACTCCATTGACGTATTCCTCATTCTAACGTACCGGTGCCCGCACGCCCCGCACCCCCAATTGGGAGAAAAGTCCGTCTTCCCTCGCCCCAGGAAATAATTCGATGTTTTACGTCTCAAAGTTCAGACGAAAGGTCATGTACTATCATATATAATGCGTGCCTAAATATTAGCAGCTTCGTTGCCAAACGTAAATATTAATAAGGAATAATGACACAAACGGTCCCTGAACTTTGCCCTAATGTGCAATTTGGTCCTTGAACTTTTAATCTGTTCAATAGAATCACTGACCTTTAGGCTAATGTTCAATGCGGTCCCTGAACTTTTAATTTGTTCAATACCGTCCCTGAACTTTTAGTACGTGTTCAATTCAGTCCCTAAAGTTCAAGGACTACATTGAACGGATTAAAAGTTCATGGATCGAGTTGTATGTTGGGCTAAAGTTCAGGAAACGTTTGTGTTATTATTCTTTATTGATAATTTGTTATATACATTCAAATATATATATATATATATATATATATATATATAACATTCCAATATATATTATATACAAAAGTCATGGAAGAAGCAAGGTAGGCCAGGCCGGGCCGGGCTATCTCGGTCGTTGGGGGGGGGGGGGGGGGTCCACGCAAACTCCTCGCTTCGTCTCGTCCTAGAATCCCCTCCTCTAAATTCGGGGTCCTCTCCCTGTCTCTCTCTCTCTCTCTCCCCTGCAAGAGATCCCACCGCCCAATCCGACCGTGCGCGTTTCGTGACGAACCGAAACGCAGGGGAAAAGGTGAAAGCTTTCGCCACATCTTCCCGCATCGGCAATGCCCCCGCATTCGATTTGAGCGTGCTCGACGCGGACCCCCGATTGACGCCTGGTGAAAGCTCCCGCTCCCGCTCGCGCCATGGATGCGTCGTCGATCTCAGGCAAGTTGTAGCTCCCCCCCCCGTTCTTCGTCTTGTGGTTTTCTTTGATTGGTGTCCGAAAGGGGTCATCGTTTCCGGGGTGATTTCTTCGGGTCGAGAGAGATGACCCCCCGTGGTTTATCCGGGCTTGCGGATGAAGCGGGAGGATTGTTAATCTTGCTAAGCTTCTTCTAGTTTTTCGGTTGCGCACGCTTCCGCCCCATTTTTATTTTTTTTTGGTCGAATCGTATCTGGGTAACGATGCTTGGATGTTGAGTAACGAGAGGCTGAAGATTGGCTGATTGGCGAAATGGAAATTCGAAAACTTGGCCATTGTGAAGCAACCTCAATGGGTTCTCTTTCAAGAAGTTTACTAATCAAAATGAAAAATAGAAAAGAACAACAGACAAGAATAGATCTCCTTCTAAATTTATTTTGAAATGGGTAAATTTTTTGTTTTTTTTTTTTGAAGAAATAGGAGCTGATGAGTACGAGGGCATTCTAACTTACATCCCTTAGATGCCCCAAGAGATGGGAATTGTGTTTTTTTTATGAGCTTTGACTTGTGATTCAGTTTCAACATGCTTTGGTTGCTGAGTTATTTTACCCTCTTTAAGGTTGGAATCCTTTGCCGTTCTATCTCAAACCCCTGATTTTTCAGCCAGAAAAAAAAAATGGGATGTTCTGTAGATTGATATCAATAATATGTTTGCTCAAGATTTATAAGCAGTTGAGGCCTTAAGACATGTATGGTCAATGTACGTTTTCTGTTACACACCCAAATAGCCATTTTGAGAGAAGTGAATGGTGTGGTCTTCGTCATGAATGAAGGATTTTTCTTAATAACCACCCATTGCTTCTGCTTTTTGCGGCTTACATCGCCATGAACTGGTATTTTTCTGTCATAACTGATATCTTATATAAGCTTGTGGTTAAATGAAAGCTCCAGAACAATCCACTTCTCAGTGCGATTCTTTGATGTAATTCTGTAATTGCTTTCTTTTCATTTTTTCCATCCTTGATAGATACTTTTCCTTTCAGTAGGTTCTTCATGTTCTTGGAATGTTTGCGAAAATGATATTGTCTTAGTACCGCACATTATTATGGGCGGTGATACTCAGGCAGAAGTGAACACTATTTAATTACTAAGGAAAGGGCCGTTATATGTCCAATAGTGCTATGAATTATCTGTTGGAAGATGAGAAGCGAAATATATATGAAAAGGCACTTTTTATCTGTCTTGATGCGTGGAGGTCTATTCATTGCATATCACCAAGTTATCTATTCGACTTAATAACAAGCTGATAAGAGCTTTTAGAACTTATCTGCCAGATTTTTAAGCTAAGGAAGTTGTGTAGCTAATAGAGTTGTTCCTCCTTCAGGACTGCAACAGAAGCACCAACAGGATCTGGAAAATTTGACTCTGACAACACAGCCATACAAGACTTTGAAGTTCTTTGTTTTGGCCACTTTTCAGCATTTCAAGCATTTGATATCTTACCTATTGGGGAAAGGGGGCTTGCTTCTGTTTCTAAGCGCCATTACTGCGGCCCTCAGCTTTTTGCTGGTTACAGTTGATGGAGCGCATGATAAGGTTTGCTACTCACGTTGGTTTGAAGTGTTTTTTGGGCACGATAGTTTACTGTCGGGCAAAGGCACCATGTAGATGTTAAAACTCTCGTAAATTGTGTGGATAGCTAGAATTTAAGAGTATCAAACTAGGACTTATTACTTTTGATTGGCATGCATTCTGCCACTTTGTAGCTCCTGTGTATAAGTGTTGCAGGATATTGGTTTGGCAATGAGTGCTTAAAACTAGTATGCTTCTTTAAGTGTCTCCCTCTCTTCAATATTGTAATTATCTGTTTAAATGTTTTTGTGTGCTAAGAATTTCTTAACATGTGAGTGTGAAGATAATTACGCTAGTTGAATTTTTTTCATAAGGAACAATAAGGGTACTGATTTGGTGAGATTCCCTGATTTGTGTTGCTTAAACTTTTATTCCCATGAAGTCCTTTGCCAGGAACTCTAACTCTGTTCAACTTCAAGACACTAGGCAGATTATTAGGCTTAGATTTGATTTTATTAGTAATTTCATAAAAATATCTGAAAATTGTTTTTTTTGTGTTGAGGATTTTAATTTACCTTTTCTGCCTGTTTTAGCATGTCGAGGAGCTCTACAAGTACATGCAATTTGGGTTATGGTGGATAGCACTTGGTGTAGCTTCTTCAATTGGTCTAGGTAAGTAAAAGTTTGGCACATAAGCATGCTAAAGTAGCACTCATAGTTCTTTTCCTTGTCTTTGTTTTTCCTGCTTTGCTACTTTGCGGATTCCTTGTGTCTCTTAGCTTCATTCATGTGTTTGATAGCATAGTCACTGATAGATTTTTTCTGTTCCCATTTTCATATGATGTGCTCTTCCAGGATCAGGTTTACACACTTTTGTCCTTTATTTGGGTCCTCACATTGCGCTGTTCACTATTAAAGCAATGCATTGTGGGAGAGTTGATATAAAAACTGCTCCATATGACACGATTCAGTTAAAGAAAGGTCCCTCATGGCTTGATAAGGATTGTTCTGAATTTGGACCTCCATTATTTGCACCTTTGCATGGTCTGCGGGTACCTCTTAGCCACATACTGCCTCAAGTTCAGATGGAAGCTGTTCTATGGGGCATTGGAACGGCACTTGGAGAGCTTCCACCATATTTTATCTCCAGAGCAGGTTTGGGGCTACAAACTAATTCCTTACTTTGGCACATTATATTTTCAATACATCATGTCTCTGAAAAAGCAAAGTGGACTGGTAAATACTAGTTAGCTTCAGGATTTGTTTTTGACTAGCAAAAGTATGGGGTAGAAAAAGAAAAGTTGCAGAGTGTTTGTGTTGATTTTGTCTTTCCTATTGTCCTTCAACCAAGAATATACATGATTTCTTTTGGCAAGTTGTGAACATTGTAGTTTTTGGGCATAGGGAAACTTTTTTGAGAACTCCATCGCACATTGGTTCTTATTACTCTTTATAGGTTCTTCCATGAGTTCACGAGCCCCTGCGTCCTGGATTCTATTTCTTGAGAACAATTATAGAATTCATAGTCTTTGATGAATTTGTTTCATTCTTTGTTTGATTCCAGCAGCGACCCACTTTTTTCCTTTGCGAGGAACTTGTGATGGTTACCTGAGTAAATGTCTACATAGTCTCCAAATTGTGTACTGAACATTGTGGATGACAGATCTCATGTTTAGAACCTGTGCAAAACGATGTTTGACCGTATCGTGGCTTGTTGGAATATCTCCACCTACTTGTTAAATGCTTCCTCCACTGGGCATGCTAATGATAATTGTTATATTTTATCATAAAATTCATGCTGGTAAAATCATTCAGACGTAGTGCTGCATAAGTAAATAGTTATAAATCTGATAACCTGCTTGAGGAGAGAGTTCGGATGCATGTTGCCTCATGATTATGTATTTATCAGTTTCTCCTGTTCCTTGTGATCTTTTGCAATCAAATGTTACTGACAGAATTTGCAGTTCATCTTTGTTTTTGGTTTCTTGTGGAGAAATGAATGACTTGAAATGTGATAGCGAAAATTTTCATTCCATGGGAGTAAAATGTCTAATGTCTGTCTATAAAAATTAACTCCCAGAGGATTAACAGTTTCGATGTGCAATTTGCTTCAATAGGTGATTAAGAATTTTTCTTTTCCCATTTGTGTTTGCAGCACAGCTGTCAGGTATCAAGTCAGATGCCATGGAAGACTTGGGTGGTTCCTCAAAGAAAGAGAATGGTGTTATTGCAAACCACTTCACACAAATTAAATACTGGCTCCTGTCACATTCTCAATATTTGAACTTCTTCACCATTTTGGTGCTTGCTTCAGTGAGGATCTGTCCTATTACCTTAGTATCTGAAGTTTTCAAACCTGTTTATTGTGGATAAATCATCTTTTTTTTGGGTCCCCCCCTCCCTTTCCAAAAAAATTAAAATAAAAACCACAACAGTGTTGGCCAGAGAATCCGTTTATTTGTTGTTTGAACAGGAATAGACATTCATGAAGCAACGTACTTTTTCAATCAGTAAATCATAGCTTCTTCTGAATATCTAACCGTTCATTTGCTGCAAATTCTTTTAGGTGCCAAATCCACTATTTGACCTTGCTGGAATCATGTGTGGTCAATTTGGGATTCCTTTCTGGAAGTTCTTTTTTGCAACAGTGATTGGAAAGGCGATTATCAAAACCCACATACAGGTACTAAAGTCATTCGTTTCTTTATACCCCAGAAAGAAATTGCAAATTTCTAGGAAGGTAAAGGTCTTTATCAGGTGACATTGGTTCAGAAGTTTTCTGGAAACTTGGTATATCATCAATAGTTTTGAGAAGTGTTTCTAATTTGTACCAGGAAAAATGATATATTAATCAGGGATTGGCCTCTAATTGGGCTTGCGTCTGATTTTGTTGCTTCCATTGCAGACGGTTTTCATAATATCTGTTTGCAACAATCAACTCCTTAACTGGATGGAGAATGAGTTAATTTGGGTTTTCAGTTTTGTACCTGGTCTGGCTCCAATCTTGCCCGACATCATTGCCAAACTCAATGCAGTGAGAGATAAATATCAGGCAGCATCCCCTCCCGTGACTTCAAATGTAAAGGTACTCTTTCAATGCTCCATATACTACACCATCCATCATGCTTTTGCTTGTATTTTGCTCTATAATGGTGCTATGTGTTCAATAACCCTTTGTTCTGGATTTTGTTTATAAGTATCATGTCAAACTCTCCAACATCTGTATCTGATTTGATCGAGGAACTAACTACACATCTTAGTCCTATTGTTGCTTTTTGTAAAATATTACGTAGTACCAATTGCATCACTCTTCTTTACTATTACGTGTGATGTTTGAATGAAACCTATTTTTTAGGTGAAGAAAGGGTTCTCATTTGCTTCGATATGGAACGGCATCGTGTGGCTCATGCTCATTAACTTCTTTGCGAAGATTGTGACTGAAACTGCCAAGAGCTATCTCAAGAAACAGCAGGAGAAAGAGCTTGAATCCTTGGACAGATCATCCGCATCAAGCACGTTGAGGTAGGAACCCGACCGAGTGCATCGACAAAGCGGCAGCTTTAATATGTCTGCTATGTGGCACTTTTACCTCCTTTCCAAGTGCAAGGTAAATAAAATTGAAGTGGTAACTCTTACAAGCCCGGGGTGATGCCGAAAAGTCTGCAGTCTTGGCACTTCTATAGAAGATTGTGCATAAATAGGATGATGGTAGGGCCTAATCAACAATTTGGAAATGAAATCTAGTAATTCTTTCTGAACACAGAAACACATTTGCTCGATTGTGCTGGAATTTCGATTCAGAGAATTCTTCGTCTTTCCTAGATGATACTCTGTATATATCAACATCAGTAATGGGATGCAACATCAGCCTAAAAGAAAATCTCAATATGCAATATAGACCATGTATTGCATGAGCAGCTAATTCATTTCACTTACTGCGGGAACATGATTAGCGGGCGCATTATTAGCAACATATCATGGTGTCATCAGATTGCATTCCAAGCTCTAATGCTCTTTTCAAATCGCGAATCTTCTTTCTGGTCCGGATAAGATAGATCGCGGAATTAAGTAATGGGTCGAGCCTTAAAATAGTGCGGATGTTCAGGTTAGCTCGCTCAAGCAAATCTGTAACAGTGGATTTGCATCAGACGTGTTCATGGAAGTGTAGGTCCACATATGCATATCGGACCTTAGTTTTTTTATTGATCATCATGCTCATCATTGATCTCAGCTGGGGCAGTCGATCCAAATTAAGAAATTTGGAGTCAAGCGCCTTGAGCGTGCAATGCACCACTTCACACCTTATTGATTGCATAGATTAATGGCGTCGAGTTCATTTATATGATTATTGAGGAGTATTGCATTGAATGAAAGCCTACGACAATAACTTGTTCGGATCTTCAAGGTACCTTTCGGGACCATATTGTTTGGATGTAGGCATATCTTAGAGATAGAAAGGGCCAGAGAGTATAGGTTTTTGTGGAGTCAATGATATAAATATTCATATGGAATATTGAGTGTCATATGGATGGACCACGCATTTATTATGGCTAAAGTTGGGCTGAAATCCTGTCCCATTAGAAAGGGATTATTCCTAATAAAAAATTGCCCTTAAATTAAAGATTAAGCTATGATTGACCTATACAACCAAATTATCAATATAATTATATGTTTGATTTTGCTGCAATTAATTATTTCATAATGCCAAGATACCCCTACTGCTTTTCCGCTGCCACCTCCCCTCAATCATCAATAATTTGCAATTTATAATGATCTGTATTTTTTTTTAATTAATCCGATGATCCCCTTCTAAGGTTGACAACAAATTTGGGACATTCTACATATAATGGCGAGAACGACTAGACATTAATTTAAATAAATCAATAAAAGTATTCTAATCAAATCTTTGACAAATGGAAAATAAAATTAAAAAAATCTGTTCTTGGTAATATGTAAATCCGAAGCATTAGATAATTTAGATGTGATTCAATGCATGGACGGGAAAAAAGGAAAAAAATCGAGATTTTCTCCTTCAATTACTTTATTCCACATGGCTTAGTGATAAAAGTCAAAGTTTGGGGCTTACACCGGTAAACACGAGGAGTTTTGTGGGTCAAAAGCTGGTACTCAAAACCATTTTGGCCTCTATATATTATTATATATTATTCCATCTAGGGTTTCTTTATATATATAATATAATATATATGTGTACTGGACATGGCTTTGAACAGATTTCTTGTATATCAGATCAATCTGGACCGAATCTGTGACAAGGAATCCATTCCTTCTCGCAAACCCTAAGAATAAAATATTAGGGTTTCCATTAATCTAATCATTGTGTTCTTTTATATTATCTTCTTGGAGTTTTCGTTGATCTGGAATATAAAAAACACAGATTCATATTCTTGGGAACCGAGAAACATATAGCATGTTAGGGGTTGTTTTTCTTCCTTTGGATTGCTCGCAAAAGTCAATATATTCTCGGGACAACGTTGATCAAGGAACAGGTAGTTAGAGGCAGTTGATCTCGACCCAAATGTGCGGGTGTTTCGCGATAAATAAATGATTTAGAAAATATTTGTCTAAAAATAATGGTGTATATCGCTCACATAAATGAACGAAAGAAGAACATTTTCATCGTCCACGAAAATATTTAGACATGAATTATTGTCGTGACATCCATAGATTAACTCACTCCAGATATTGTCCGCTTTGACCCGTTCAATACCGAGCCTTAGGGTTTCGTAGGGTCACTCATCCTGGGAGTGCTCCAAAGTTAAGTATTATCATTACGTCAAAAGGCGTCTCCGTCTGAGTTGATTTCAATTCATATATATTCTAGGATGGCAAAAGGGGCAGAAATGAACCGAACCGTGTATTGAACATGGGGAGTTCTGTCAGGAGCCGCTCTTTGTCCAGGCCCTCTGGCTCCGGCGATCACTCTCTGCCCTCATCGAACCGATTCGTTATAGTTGCCGATAACGAAAATATTTTTCATTGACTAATTATTTCAAGCGATATAACCAATTATTTTTAAAAGAATATTTTCCAATCAATTTTTACGCGATTGTTTTATTTTATTTTGTAATATTTCATAATCGGTCTCGCGAGATTTTTAGGGTCCAGGTCGATGTAAGAGTACTGTATAGTGTATAGTGTATGGAACAATCGTCGTAGGGTTTTCGTATTCTTGATAGGTAATAATGAATATCGAATGGAGAACGTTGAGGTTACTTGCCCTAGTTTGCGTTGAGTTCGCCATCTTTCCGAGACTTTTCAAAGAAGAATCTTCATCCGCAGACATCGCTAATAGCTTTGAAAATACAAGATTTCGACGACTTCCTTTTATGTAATCAAAAATAAAATAATGAAAAATCCGAATTAAACTTTTTTTAAGTAGATGATTTATTTATTGAATTTTGGGATGGTTTGGGTTGAAAAGAAATTTTAAGTTTACATGAACCCTCGATGGCCCAACTCTGCTGGGAGTGATACAACTTCTTTTGATCGTGTATTTAATGGGGATTAAATAACTGCAATATAATTTATTGATAATAGCTCGTGCATTATGCATAATAAAATAAAAGGTTATAACAGTTTAGTCCAACTTAGGTCACTTATAAGGGTTAATACCACTAAAAATCCCAAACTGGTACATCCGTGACAAATTTACTCCAAACTAATTTTTTGACCACCAAAAATCCCAAACCGGTACACTTGTGACAAATTTACCCTCCGTTAGTTTCCGTTAATTTTTACTGTTAAATTACTTTGTTAAATGACACGCGGCAGTTTACGGATATACCAATTTTGGATTTTACCCTCCATTTATCACAGGTGTACCAGTTTGTGATTTTTTTTGTATTAATCCAATTTAACGGAAACTAACGGAAGGTAAATTTGTCACAAGTATACCAGTTTGGGGTTTTTGGTGGTCAAAAAATTAGTTTGGATAAATTTGTCACGGATGTACCAGTTTAGAGTTTTTTATGGTCAAAAAATTAGTTTGGGTAAATTTGTCACAGGTGTACCAGTTTAGGATTTTTCGTGATATTAACTCCACTTATAATTATCAAATCAACCGTGATATGGACCATAATGAGACATTCGTCGAGTCGATAACGGACCTTGATTTGATTGAAAAATTAGGTTAGGATCTTTTTAGTTCACCATATTCAATTTTTCCAAAATTATTACCAACTTCCAACATGAGGTCGATTAAGTTAATTAACGTATTGTGTCATCCTTAGACACGAGTCAAATACTCGAATCCATTGGATTGTCTCTTACTCATGAAGGCTATGTTAGAGCAAAAACATCACAATGTGATGCTCAATCATTTGGGGGTCACCCCTCCGCGACATTATCGTTGTTTCACAACTCAAATCTCATGACTTCCTCGAAAATGAAGTGTTCAAGAGGAAAAAAAATGTGGTCCATTCGCCATGTGCCGGTCATCGTCATGCAAACCTCACGAGATCTTAGGGTGCACGTTTGTTTCAATAAAAACTTCACAATAAAAGAAAATATTTTCCATAGAAATCAGCTTTAAGAAAAATTGTTAGTTTTCATTTATTTGGTAATTTAGGGAAAGTGATTTCCTTCTCGCCAGAAATGAAAATCATTTTCCGCCTATATAAGCTTTATTGTTTTCAATTCATAGAAAATTTTTTCCATAAATCGATTAATTTTCCATCATCCAAACATTATAAAATTCAAATTTTTCTTCAAACGAACGAACCCTCAAATCAAAACCAATCTGAAATCCACAATGCACCGGACTCACATGCAAGATAGAAGAGGGCCGATTAATCCTTAGTACATAAGGGCCAAAAGGATACTTTTCGTCCTCCAACATATGAGTTTTGCCAGTCCTTGAAAAACACCCTTAGATCCTAATGGGTCAAGTTTCAGTCCGATTTTCTTGGCCACGCAACGATCAGTAAAGCTTCATGCTCCGATACTATTTTGAAAAATCCAACTCGAAAGTTTATACTTTCATGTCTAGAAAGACTATGTGAATATAAAAAACATTTAATTATCCGCTGTGAAGCGACACGGGACGACGCTCCACTAGTTTTCCTTATAAAAACCGATGATTCAGACCAAGTCCAAGGTTCAATTTAGTACGTGCAAGTAAGCTCATTGGAGAAAAAAAATTAAAAAAAAAATAAAAAGTCTTCTTTTCTTGAAAAGAGGCGAGGGAGGACGAAACGCAGATGGGTGGGCCCCAAGCGGACCGACATCAAAAGGGCCAATCAGGTTCGATGTCCCACCGTGGCGGGGGGACCCACCCCGTGAACGGGTCTCCGCTGGTCGGCGCTTCGTTGAATCCGGGCCCACTCAGAACCGAGGCATCTTCGCGCTCGCGTGTGCACCGTCCGATCCGCGTACGGCTTCGCCTGATCCGAGGGCGGACCTGCCGCCGAGCGAACCTGCACCCGGGAGCAGGCGATCGCGCCCCCGCGGGGTGGGGGGGGGGGGGGGGACCAGGGTAGGCGTTCAAATGGGACCCACGCGCTTCGGTTTTTCTACCGTGGTGTCTCTTTCTTTTTTGTCCTGCGCGGCTGAACAAACTTCTGATTCGTGGGGCCCCCCCCATCATCCCCTTCTCTCTTCTGCCACGTAAGCTTTTCGCTTTTCGGTTTTTTTTTTCTTTTTTTTTTTTTTGCGGGCAATTTTTCGTGATGTGAGGTGAGTCAAGATCGCGCTCCGCGTCGTCAACGTTCTCATTCATTTGCAAAAAGGTCATTCGAGAGGTTCGAGCGCAGTTGCGAACACGGTCGGATGCGCCGACAAAATTGTCGAAAAAGAAAATTCTAAGTTCATCGCACCTTTTATCAATTCGATTCTAAATCTTTTAATTTTACTAATTGAGTCATAAATATTTTCATATCTTATCAATTAAGTCCATCCC